AGCCTGGCAAAGCTGTAGTGGACAAACAAGAGGGAGGGCCATGGTGAGAACCACCAGGTGAGCCAACAGCAGCCTGAACAGCACCTGCATGGCTGGGCCTGCCAGCCTGCTCTGCAACACAGCAACCACCCAAGGAGTCCAAGGGGGAAATGTGAGCAGCAGCGATTTTGGGGTGTAGAAACTGGGTGGATGCACGTGTAGATGTAGATGTAGATGTCAATGTCAACACTGATGTACATATCAGTGTACACGTAGATGATGTAGATGTCAGTGTTGATATCGATATCAATATAGATGTGGATATCACTGCTGATGTCAATGTTGATGTTGGTGGTGATGTAGACGTAGATGCAGACATTAATGTAGACATACTCCCACTTCTTTCAGCCATTCTAATGACAAAGTGGCAAACAAAGCTGTGCAGAACAGACAATGTGAACATGCTTTATTTTCAGTAGAAATGTTCACAGCGTTTCATAGCAATTGTTCAAATCCTCCTGGATGGCAATGAGGTTGTGCTCTCTGCTCTCTGGCAGTATTTCTACCACAAACTGCAATTATGAAAAAAAATAAATAAATAAATAAAAATTATGAGATGTAAAAGGAGAGGTTTAAAATGACAGAAGCCTCTGCTACTCCCAACCTTTTGTAAGACAGGTATCCTACGTATTTCATGGACAAGCTCTGAATCAAACTGGCTTACATGAATTTGTACTGGTATCTTCCATCATGAAGGAGCTGTGTGCTGGACAGAGAGAGTGGCAGGAGCACTATGTAAGTGTAGAACCCCTCAGAGACCAAAACAGCTTCTCACAAAAGGAAAAAGAAAAAAAAAAGAAATGCTGATGAACCAGTGCTGCTTGAAGGCAGCTGGAATAGTTCATGCTCTTGTTTTTATCATCAGTGCTCCAAGGGAAAGACAGCTTTGTTTTCACATGGTTATTGATTATTAACCAGCCCTGTGAAAGGTTACCTTTCTGCTAGATACATGATGTGGGGGTTTAACAGCCAGTCCCTGGGAAAGCTGTTTTGCCGTCAGCTCTTCCTTCTCCCGCTGCAGCCCTTGCCATGGGGACAACTTCACAGTGCTGCTCTAAGTGTGCTCCAGCCACCTTTCCTGTTAAAAAGTGAACTGCAAAAAATGCAATTGGGCACTAAGAAATCACTCTTCTGGTCAGGCACCGGAGAGGGGGTGATGGAACTGCCATTGGTCACCGCAGGAGAATGGGGAAAACTGAGCGGGGGCTCACAATTATTTGCACTGAAAGGCAAACAAAATGGTCCTACCACCTTTCCAAGGAAGAAAACGTTGTGTCCATATGATTCTACAACTCACTGATCCCAGCAGTGCCTGTTGGACATCACTGGGGAGGAAGCAAACACAGCTTTCAAACTAAGCTCCCAAATTCAATACTTAGGGTAAAAGCTTTGAAAATTCCATTGAGTTTCGGAAGGTCACCATTCCATATCTGATGGTATGTGTATTAAGGCCAACATTTTAAAACCACACAGATACGACATCAGGTACACAGCTTGGCATTCCAGATCACAGGGCACTCAACCACATTCACAATGCACTGTAAAAAGTTTTGGGCTTCGTACTGTATGGAAAACCATTCCACCGTGCAAACAAGCTCTTCTTTGCTGGGCAAACATCCAGTGAGAAAATGACATCAAACCTCAACAAGTCCTTAGAAGACACTTGAATCTGATATGGCGATCCAAGTATTACCAGCGTGGTCATTGCATATCTCACTGTAGGATGGCAACAGCTGAGTACCTGAAACATTTGTTATTGATACTGGGCTATATGAATTCCTGTTCTGGTGGAGGAGAAAATTATGGTGTGCCTGCACTGCTTAGTATTGCTACAGTTGCTGTCATCCTTCAGTTGCTTTAATTTAATCTCTTGGAACAACCAACTCACAATAAGGATTTAACTTCTAGGTGAATCATGGGGGTGATGTAAAAAAATCACCTTGGAGGAGTGAGGTGCCAACAGAGGAAACAATTGGACCTGCCAGAGTGGTTCTCAATGTGAGGTGTGACCATGCTGTTGACTGTGAGGCTGTGCTCATGGATCAGACCAACACAGAGCTGAGGAGCATGAGCACCCTGCCTTCATGGTGAGGTTGTGAAAAGTTCCCCAAAGGAGTAAAACCCAGGGTCTCCAGCTGGCCTGCAGCACACATACATCCAACAGTTAAGGTAGAGTGATGGAATCATAGAGTATCTCAAGTTGGAAGGGGACCATAAGGATCATCAAGTCCAACACCTGGTTCCACACACGGCCACACAAAATCAGACCACACCTCTGAGAGCATTGTCCAGACACAGCATCACAAAGTACTGAGCTTGAAGGTGAACCCAGCCATCCCTGTGGGATTTGTTCTAGTATGCAACATGTCCCTTGCTTTGACTTTCACAGTTTTCAATGGCTAGACACTGAATGCTGTTGTACACTTATGAGCTGAAATAAATACGCTCCTTTTGCCAGCGCTCTTTTATTTGCACAGTTACATATAGACAGGATGGCCAATATCCTCAACACCTCACAAGCCTGCCAAAGCCTTGGGCCTGGGCTGTTGGGCAGCTCCCTGCTGGGACATGCCAACAGGTGTGCAGGAGTCCTGCAAATCACTGAGAAACTTTAAGGTTAGAAAAGGCACCTAGTTCATCTAGTCCAACTGTTGACCCATCCCTACTTTGTCCATTAACCATGTCCCTCAGTGCTACATCTCCATGTTTCTTTTGGGGAGTTGGACTCAGTGATCTCCTGAGGTCCCTTCCAACCCTTGCAATTCTGTGATTGTAGAGCACCTCCAGGGATGCTGACTCCACCACCTCCTTGGGCAGCACTTCCTTGGACTCATCCTGCCAAGTATTCAAGAGTCATTGGTCCTTTGAGTTCATGTGTGCATACAAGATCAATGCTTCACCTTCTAATTTCTTGCATCATGCCTACACATCTCAAAGCTCTTCCAGCTGGAGAATTAAGGATGATGCTTTAATTAAAATTTTAGCACAAACTGTTGCAGTTCTCGCACGGCAGCAGGCAGGATGGGCTCTGGGCGGGTTCAGCTCCCACTGCAGCTGGGCATCGTCCCCCCAGGCACAAGCAGGGTCCCCCATCACAGGCTCTGTTCCTGTGCTGCAGTTCTCTGCCTTGTTGTTAGCACGACAAAGCGTGCCCTTATCACCTGCTCACGCAGGCAGAATGAAAGAGAATTAGCTCTAAATTATACGAAATTCATTTGCTTTGGAGGGGGAGAAATGTTTGCTCTATTTAGAAATGTTCGTTATAGAGAGAGGACCGCATTAAGACGCCGGGTAATGGTCCTACCTGGAGATGAATCAATTTGCTCTGGTTTTTATAGCCACGCGTTTGTTTGTCCTCTCCGGTTTCCCGTGGAAAACGTGGGGCTGTAAATGCTGTGGAGAGCAGCGTGGAGCCGGGCTCCCCGTGGGGATGAGGATGGAGCTGTGGGAGACCCCAACCGCCCCATACCCCCACCCAGGATGGGCTCCGCGACGCCCTGCCCTCCACATACTCCCACCCCACGGTGATTCCCCCACGGGGCAGAGAAAGCCTGAGCCCCCACTTTCATCACAAAGCTCTGGGGGCTTCAAACCCCCCCAGCTTCCAGCCAAGGGGGAAGGAAGTGTGTGAGAAGTCTCCAGAGGGACCAAAGGACGTCAAGCCCACTTCCAGAGAACGCATCCTTCTGACGGGGGCGGGCACAGGGCTGCGTCCCGGGCACGGTCCGTACCCCAGCCCAACGTGGCAGGGGATGTGAGGGAGGGCTCCGTGTTGAGGGGGAGCCGGAGGAGCAGCGATGCCTATCGGTAATTCCCACTAATAAAATTCTTTTTCACTATCCGCACTATAATTGGTTTACAGCCTTTTTTGTTTATTTATCCATAAGAGCTGCTGTTAAATGGCTTGAGAAAGCAATTGCTTAATGGCTCAATATTGAATCAAAGGCTCGGTTTGCTTTCCGAGAGATGGGGGGCCCGAATGCATTCATAGCGGAAACTCATTTTCCGTGTAATGGACTGGGTGCTTTTATGATCCCGGCTTCTGAGCCAGGTACCGGGGAACCTCCTTCCTCTCCCGCCCACGGATGCATCACCTCCACCGAGCCGGGCCGGGCCGGTCGAGCCTTCAGAGACGGAGCGTCCGGTGTGCGCCCCGACGGCGGTGGTCGGAGACCGGCACGGAGCTCCCGGAGCCGGGCATGGAGCTGAGGGAAAAGGCGATGAGAGGAGGAGGAGGAGGAGAGCCGGTCAAAGGAGGAAGCGTGCCTGCCTCTGAGCCGGAGAAAGCGGCCTGCGGGCCGAGTGCAGGGAGGCAGGGAATTGATCTTTGTCCCTTTCGGTAGCTCTCCGCCTCCCCATAGCCTCGTCACCAAGTCAACCGGCACCGACTTGGAGCGCATTATCTCTGAGGGTCAACACATTGCAGCCCGAACCGCGGGGAAGGCTCCAAAATTTCCCCTTTCGGCAAACAATCCGCTGCCTATCGCTCGCTCTGCCGATAGCATTGTGGTCCCCCACGGCCGCATCCCCCTGGCAGGGGGCACAGAGATCTTCTGGCGCTCCTCTGCTGCTTGGGGTCCCCCGCAGTTCCCACTCCCTTCTCCACATCCCTGCCCGAGAAGCCCCGACCTCACCCCGAAGCCAGGCCCCCCAGGAGCCTTTTGCCACCTCCTGGAAAGGATCTGCTGGAAGGGATGAGCAGCCCGTGTTTAAAAGGGAGGGCACGCGGTAGGTTTTGGGGTCACCCCGCACGCCGGAGCCCCGGGGTTCGTCTAGTAGGGTCAGATGTATTTGTCCAGCAGGGCGAAAACGGGGAAAACGGTTCTGTGAGGCCGGGGCCACCCCGGTGGCCTCTTATGGGTCCCGCCCCGCCCCGGAGAGCTGCGGGAGGGCTCACGTGGGGGTGCGGCGCCTATGGGGAGGCGGCGGGAGCCGGGCAGGGCGGCGGGGCCCGACGGGGCGGCGAGCTGTCAAAGAGGGATCCCGGCGGCGGGAGCAGCCCGATGTGCCCCTAGCTGCAGGACCCCCCGGCCTGCCGCCATGAACACCGAGGAGCAGTACTACGCCTCGGCGCAGCTCTACAAGGAGCCGTGCGCCTTCCAGAGAGCGCAGGATTACAGCCCCAGCCCCCCCGCCTGCCTCTACGTGGGCCGGCAGCAGCAGGCTCCGTATCCCGGCTCTCTGGGGACGCTGGAGCAGGGCAGCCCGTCGGACATCTCGCCCTACGAGGTGCCCCCCATCAGCGAGGATGCCGGGGTCTCCCACCTGCATCACCACCACCACCACCACCCTCATCTCCCTCCCCCGCACCAGGACGCTCTGCCTTTCTCCGACGGGGCGGACCCGGGGGCGATGGAGGAACCCCGGGTGCAAGTGCCTTTCGCCTGGATGAAGTCCACCAAGTCGCACGCCTGGAAGGGGCAGTGGGCAGGTAAGCCCCGCCGCCTCCTCCCTTTCGGAAGGAACCGAAAGGGCTCCAATCGTGGGGGTCCCTCGCAGCCCTCCGATCCCGCTGCCGTCGGGTCCCCGCCGTCGGGTTGAGCCCGCCCGGGTTAAAGTCCCGTTCGCATCAGTCGGGGAGGGGTGGCGATGCCAAACCCCGCGTTGATCCCCACGAATTCCCTTTCCTCGACGAACCTTTCGTCGGGATGGGACACGCAAGGACTCGCCGTCGGGGAGCTCGGGGGGTTTTCGCGGGGTCCCCATCCCGCGGCGTGCGGGAACGAGGCAGCCCCCGCAGCCCAACGGGGAACCCCCCCCCCCCCCTGCCTCCGGCGCCCCGCAGCCCGCAGCGGTAGCTCGATCGGGATCGCACCTTTACAACCCAGAGCCCTGGGAAGGGGGAACAATGCACAAACGAATCGGAGGTGCCAGCGAGGGGAAGAAACTCTATCGAGGCAGAAAGTTCCGCTGCGGAACAATATTTCTGTCTCTGCCTGCACAATGTTATCGTGTCCTGCGCTTTTGTCACGCCTATACGGCAAATATTATATTAATGGCTTTGTTCAAATAGACAGTTGAAAAGGGACTGGAGGGTTGAAATCACCATGAAATAGTCTGGGAAGTCGCATTCTCAAAATATCTGTGTGTGTATATATATATATAGGTATATATATATATACATATATATTATTATTTCACCGTTAAATCCGAGGAATGGCCAAAACTTCACCAAAACAAAACTTTCCCCTCTGAAGTCCCAA